TGCAATCTATCTTGCTGCCCTTTCTGTAGCATATAACATCAACATGCATTTCCATGAATAAAAGCACTTCATTATCATTTACATGCACTCTATTAAATGCTTCCTTTCCCAAATTCTTCAGATGTTCTGTGTAGGTCAATTATAATGTTCATTCTTCGAAAGCTACCGATAAACAGTACGTTTAAGTCGTATGCACCTCAGGTCCCCAGAACCTTAAAGTGACATTAAAGAACGAGGGAGGCACATAACCAGCGCCTGCCTGACCGAGCAGGTGGCCACGATGGAGCGCGAGCAGCGCCGCCCTGAGGGTGGTCAGAGTGCGTCCGTCCTCACAGGCGGCCCCACCGAGCCCTCCCTCAGGAGCCAGGCCCTCGGACACCGACCTGGGAAGTCAGAGGCAGGGATGGTGAGCACAGCGGCGTCGGACGTGCCCACCAGGTTCCTGGCTGTCAGGGCTGCTTTATAGCGATCGTTGGTGAGGTTCACGGTCAGCTTTGTGTCGTTGACTGTGTAGTTTTGTGAATGTGATTTCCATCTCGTGAGAGCCACTGTGTAATCCAAGATTTTCCCATTGGCTTCAAACGGAGGCAGGGTCTGTAACAGACACTTCATGTTAGAGTGTGTTCCCTGCAGGGTCTGTAACAGACACTCCATGTTAGAGTGTGTTCCCTGCGGGGTCTGTAACAGACACTTCATGTTAGAGTGTGTTCCCTGCAGGGTCTGTAACAGACACTTCATGTTAGAGTGTGTTCCCTGCAGGGTCTGTAACAGACACTCCATGTTAGAGTGTGTTCCCTGCAGGGTCTGTAACAGACACTCCATGTTAGAGTGTGTTCCCTGTGGGGTCTGTAACAGACACTCCATGTTAGAGCGTGTTCCCTGCAGGGTCTGTAACAGACACTCCATGTTAGAGCGTGTTCCCTGAAGCCAGACCAGAGCTGACTCCCCGTGTGCTGACCTGCCAGCAGGCTCGACCTCAGTGCTCACCGATGGGCCCGGCCTCCACGCCGTGCTCACCGCGGGGGCAGGAGCACCGCACACGGGCCGAGGAGGTGGGAGGGCAGCTGCGGGGCCAGTTTAACATTACGTCCCAGTATTTTTCTCCGCCTTTTCTGGTATGATCCTCTCACGTACGTGTATGGAGCACACAACCATTTTATCTCCATTACTGGCGTGCACTCTGATCACACAGACCTTTCCTCATGATCTCCTGGGCACCCGGGAGTCGACCGGACTCGGTCCCTGTCCCCACAGCCCCCTCCCCGCCCCTTCCCCGCCCAGCCACGCCGAGGCTTTTGCTACGGCCCGTGCCTGCCCTTGCGCAGCAAATGCGAATCGTGGGCTTCCGCGTGCTGAGCTGATTCAATGCGCTGCTGACAGTCAGATGAACGAACATGTGCGTTAAAGCCCCGCTCGTCCGTCACCGACGACGCACTTCCACAGGAGCTGGAGAACACAGGCGGGCGCTCACCTTCCACAGGAGCCGCACGGACCTGTAGCCGTGAGCAGGGGACGGCTCCACCTTATACCAGAAGCTCGGTGCCTTGGACGGTCCTAAAGGAATGACATGCACCTAGTAAATGTTTTTATTGTAACAGAAGCAAAGCCTGGAGGTTACTCCCTCATGTTGTCCTTAACACCCTCACCCTCACCCTCAGCCACGCCCCTCCCTCACGTGGCCCATCTGGGCCGTGAGCTGGGCGGGGGGGGGGGGGACGACCTGAGGAGTCAGGTACATGGCGGCTCCTGTAATCTCAGGACGGTGAGGCCACAGGCATCCCAGGTCTGACTGCTGAAAACAGCCCTGAAAACCCCATTAAGTCCCTCTCATTGTGCTTCAGGCCCCACGTACACACGTGAGACTGTGAGACCAGTCAGAACGGACGGACCAGTGTAGTTCATCCCCGTATCTGGGGTGACTCGTGCAGGAAGACGTAACACAAATGAATTCACGAGACTGTGTGACAGTCACCAACCAGGTGAAAAAGCATTTACAGAACCAAGTGTCAATGCTAGTGGTCAGGCTGTAAAGTCCCTGGAGACCGCCCGATTCAGAAACATTTTATGCTACAAGGGGAACCGGGCTGTCAGCAGAACCTGACAGAAGCTCTGAGTCAAGTCTAAGCGGTGCCGTGCGGACCAAACCCAGAGAGAAGGCCGCCCGAGGCTGGGGAGCTGCTGGCAGGTCCACGGAGGTCCACCCACAAGCAGAACAGCAGAGTGAGGAGCCGACACCCTCAGAGCCACGTCAGGGCTAGAAACGGCTCCCTGCACAAAGCAACCGGAGGCTTCAGTCCCAGGCTCCCGGCTCCTGGCTCCGGGGTCTAGAGCTCTGGACGAAGCACACGTGCTGTTGCCCAGGAAGTCTCGTGCCAGGACGGCTCCTGCGGCTGCGGAGGGTCAGCGGTCGGGGACACCTCCGTACCTGCTGCCCACGCCTCCCACAGCTGCTTTCTCACGGCAGCGCAGACACCATGCCAGGGGGTTGACTTAGGCCAGTGATTCCCAAAGTGGGCGCTACCGCCCCCCGGTGGGCGCTGCAGCGATCCAGGGGGGCGGTGATGGCCACAGGTGCATTTGGGGGCGATGAGTAACTGCTATTAACATTTAAAAAAATTAATTTCCAGGGGCTGAGTAATATTTTTTCTGGAAAGGGGGCGGTAGGCCAAATAAGTTTGGGAACCACTGACTTAGGCTATCAACACGCACACTACAGCTTACAGCTCAACGTCCCTGAAAGTAAAAGTGTTTGAATAAAATGGTCGCTCAGCAGGCAAGGAGGCCTCGGTCACTCAGCCCAGCAGGGCTCCCACGGCCAGGACAGCGCGCCGCGCAGGCCACTCACGGTCCTCATACGTGGTCCCCCGCGCCTCTTCGCTCCAGTCGCTCCAGAAGCCCTGGCCGTCCTCCTTCATGCAGCGCACCCGGAACACGTACTCCGTGAAGGGCCGCAGGTCCTGGACCGTGAAGGAGTAGCGGGTGGACGCTGTGTCTTCAAGAGGAATCTGAAAGCAGAGCAGCCAGCTGACAAAACCCATGGCACTCAGTCTTCAGAATCTAAGTTACTGAAACAGACTAACACGCTAACTCCAGCTCTGGAGAGAGACAAACGCAAGTCAAAAAGCTCTTCGCAGCAGCAGAGTCCGCAGGTTTGGGAAGCACAGACACGTCTACTCTGAACCCTTCCTGCCTCGGTGGGCAAATTTAGAAAGAATGACAGCAGCCAGCACAGCAGCCGGGCGCGAACGAATCAGAATTACACCTCTCTTTCTGTCAGATCGGCAAAAACAGCAACCGGTCTGGGTGTGCCTCGGAACTGCAGTCATTAGCGCCCGTGCCAGGAGACAACGGGAGACGGCGGAGGGAGGTCCCGAGAGGCTGTGGCCACAGGCGAGCGCCGGTACCTGGCTCCAGGCCGCGGTGCCCCGGGCCCGGTACTGGATGTCGTACTTCAGGCCGATGAACTTGTCGATGCTGGAGTTGACCCAGGTCAGCTTCAAGATGCTGGACAGCTCCTCCGAGTTGCTGACGGACAAGTTGTGCGGAGGAGCGGGCTTCACTGGGGAAGGAAATAAACCCTCGTGTCCATCAGCTTCTCTGCAAACTCACACGCCCTCTCCTGCTCTCACCCGGTCACCACGTCCCAATCAGCACACGAGAGAAAGGAACGGCTTCTACACTCTTGTCACTGAGGACATCTGTTCTATCTTTTCAGGCTCAGATGTCGGAGAACAATTAAATACGCGTAACGTACAGAACTTCTAAAAAGAATAAAGCTGGGCTGGACGCACACTGTGGCTACCACCTGGGAGATGCCTGGAAAGTGGACAGACACCAGGAGGTGACAGTCCCTGTGAAACCAGCGGGGACTGAGCGGGGACGACGGGCACTGTGCTTTGTCCACGTCGTGTTTAATGTTGTCGACAACATGAACCAACAACACAAGTGTTTGTTTCTATGCTGACCGAGACCTAGAACTCCCTCAGTCGTAAACCGCGGCGAGTGCGGCGGAGGCTACCTATATTCACAGGGTCGAAGTTGATGTGCTCGGACTCGACCTCGCCCAGGGCGTTCTGCGCCTCCACCCAGACCTCCATGTTGACGAAGTACACGGGCAGGTACTCCACGGTGCACGCAGGGGGGCTGCCGCGCTTCGTCTTACAGTCAGGAAACTTGTCCGTGGGCCTAAATACAAAAACGGGAGGATCAGACATCAAAGGAGAACTGAGAACACGAGCGTGAAAAGGTGGCGTGAAGGGTTTCGTGAGACCCAGGTCATGACAGCGCAGAACACAAAGCTGATTCCAACACGAGTGAAATAAACCAACCGCTGAAAAACAGACTTTCCTAAAAACTAACCTGCTGTTTGTCAAAACACGTTTGATCTGTATCTTAAACACAAAATTATCCTCAAACTTCTGCTGCAGGAGCGTTCCATCTAGTGTGCTACCCTCAGCCCCGGGCCCTCCCCACGGCTCCTCCCATGCTGGGGGCTCAGTGCCACTCCTCTCCTCCCCCGGCACAGTCCACCCCCGGCGGGCACATCTCTCCCGGCGGGCACAGTCCTCCCGGCGGGCACATCTCTCCCGGCAGGCACAGTCCTCCCGGCGGGCACAGTCCTCCCGGCGGGCAGTCCTCCCAGCGGGCAGTCCTCCCCCGGCACAGTCCTCCCAGCCAGCACCGCCCTCCCGGCCGGGGGCTCCTGCGCAGGGAGCACAGGGAGGGGCGGGACAGGATTCGTGTCACCCAGCAGTGCCGGCCCCGCCAGTCAGGCCAGGTGGCCGCTCTCGGACCTCTGTCACCAGAGGAAGTTTCAGGTGGTTGTTCCGCCTTCACTCACATGTTTACATGGGGCATCAATTAAGAGCATGTCTACATGCACGTTCTCTTTTAAAATAAAAAGGATAAACCCAAACTGAGGAACCTGAACGCTAACTGAAAATGTGATGACCGCGTTCAGGTGTTTTCAATTATATTTGGGTGCAACAGTGGGACGTAGTTTTTTTTAAGTGTCCTTATCTTTTAGAAAAATGACTAGAATACTTATGGATGAGATGACATGACGCCTGAGATTCCTCTCAGACCAGCTTGTCAGGGGGGCGGGGGGTAGGGGGGACACAAAATACAAGCTGTGAGCTGACCATCACTGAGGCCAGACCATGGCACACAGGGACTCAGCATCCTCTTCTTCCCACTTTTATGTTTCAGATGTTCAACATTTCAGGTTAAATAAAATGTTTTAAGTTTGCAGTTAACGTCACTACCCGACAAAATAAACCCCCAGCACCTGGTCAGCGCGATACATTCAGGACACAAGGAACGCCAACGACTTGCCATTCAGATTTGAGGGTGAAGTTTGTCTCCAGATACGTCTCCCGCCCCGGGTCCCACCGACAGGTCATTCTCTTCCCTTCGTTCACGATGCAGCTCAAGTTCTTAGGTTTTTCTGGAGGCACTAAAGGGGACAAGGGAGAACTTTCAAAAAGCTTTACATCCACAAACATGCAATTCATGTCCTGCCCAAGAAGTTTACCCCCTCAACTACGTAGGAGAAAGTGCCCACGCAAAAGTGTGGACATAGCGAGACTGGTGCCCGGAAAATTAATTCCTTTCTATTTAAACGCGGACTTCTTTCTAGATAGTAACACCCCTTTTCTAGCATAACCATCAGTGACTAGTGTGCTCATATTCAGTTTTCACACCGAACCAACGTTCATTTATGACTGAATAACAGCATCCTCCACTCAGTGCCGTGTACAGAGGGCGTCTGCATATTAGTCAGAGGAAACCAAGTGGAAACCGTGATTCATCTCTGTCCTCTTCCTGCTGCCGTTCTGACCTCTGCTGGGAGCAGAGCACACGGCAGCACAGCTCGGGGTGACAGCTCTGGTCCTGGCTCGGTCCTGCCCGCGAATCTGCTTTGACACAGAAAGACTTTCTCCCGCATTTACTCCCCTTCTCGGGGCTGCTTAGCGCGCAATTCCTTAGAGATTAAGGCACCAAGTAACTGCAAGTAACTCTGATCAATTCACAGATTTCAGTCCAACAATTCTTTTGGGGGGAGGGGCGTCTCATGTCAAAAGACTTTTCTATAAAACGGACAGATCCTTGGCTTTCAGGGAAAAGGTACAACTCTGTTTCTGAGGTTTGTCTGCATATTAGAGGTGAAACTGTAGTTCCACTTCTAAGCTTATTTTTAAAAACAAATGTGTCCAAAAGCCACTGGCCCAGCGAGTCCCTGCAGGTCCTGGAGAGGAACACACGACCCTGAAAACGCAATTCACAGTCACAGCCGAGCCTGGAGGGGACTCGGGAACTTACGGCCGGAAACGATGCTGATCCCATACACGTTCTGATCGATCCCGAACGTGCGGATGTTGCAGGTGAGCTGGGTGTTTAACAGGGAGAAGTCTGGGAAGGTGACGCTCGACGCCGTGCTGTTGATGACAGTGTACTGCTCGAGAGGCACCGTCACGTGGTTTGTCTTCCAGAAGATGTGGTCAGCGGTGACGTGTAAATAATCCATACATTTCTCCGTGAGCACACAGACCGCAGTGAAATTAGAACCAAGCTGCACAACCGGAGACTCGGGGTCGATATAGCCGCAAACATCCAGAAGGTCCCCTGGAAAGAACAGAGGAACATGTGGGCGTGGACTGCGTTTTACTGGCCGTGGCCTGGCCTGTTGCACGTGCCTCCCACAGGCCCCAGCGCGGGTGGCATCGGTCCCTTGAACCCTCCAGCTGGTGAAACTGCGCCTGTGGGGACTGAGCCGCCCTGTGACCTGGGCCAGTCCTGCTCCCTAACCCACACTTCACTCCCGAGGAAACCCCTCCGAACGCTTCCTTGAAATTAAGGGAACAGCAAAGATAAGGTTAATTTAGAGAATTAAAGAACAAGATGTAACCAAAGAGTTGACGATTTTTCTCCACACAGAACAGGAGAAAAACGAGAAACGGGCAAGTGTTCAAGCTTTCAGAGAGAAACACGGGCTCGTTAGAACGAGCCCGTTCCACCTCAGCCCCGTTCTCACAGGCCGCCAGCTCCTGCAGACGGAACTGCAGAAGCGATTTCATTTAAAAGGGCACTGACACCGCGAGCTGGGTGTCCGAGGGGGAGATGGGAATGTGGGGTGGAACACGCAGCAGCAGCAGAAGAGGGAACACGAGGGAACCCGGCCTTCGGCTGCTGCAGGTTCGAACGGGTCAAGGCTGAGCTGGCTGCTGACTCGGGGTCGGAGGGGCGGGCGGTCCTTCCAGGGCAGCCGCCCTCCTCCCACCTCAGGTCTGCGGTGCCTACGCCTGCCCTGCCACCCCGTGTGCCACGTGACCTCAAGGCCGGGCCATGAAAACATACAACTTCCAACCAAGCGCTCCTCTCCTCCTGGCCTGCCCTGGAGCCCAGCCGGAGGCGAGGTGCCAAGGCCCATGGAGAGACGTGTGGGTGCCCTGGTGACAGCCCCGCCAAGGCCTCGCTCGCAGCATCAGGCAGAGCCTTTGCACGGGGAGGCCCCAGGAATCGTGTGAAGGCGAATCCGCCTGGCCGGGCCTGGCTGTCCTCCTGTCCCACGAAAACCACCAGGAAGAACCGTTTCTGTCCTTTTAGGCCACGAAGTCTTGGAGTAATTTGCAAGGCAGCAACATTTTACTTTATGTTATTATTTTTATTTCAGAGGGGAAGGGAGAGAGAGAGAGAGAGGGAAACATCAATGATGAGAGCGAGTCACTGATCACTGCCTCCTGCACGCCCCTCCTGGGGATCAGCCCACAGCCCGGGCATCGAACGTGACCTCCTGGCTCTCAGGCCCAGCTCCCTCTGTGGGGAAGGACAGTGGGGCTCCCCCACCCCAGTCGGGCGCGGATGGCTAACTTTTGTTCTGCACTATGTTCCATGAGACAAGTTCAACGATTACACGCCTGGACATCACGGTCATGTCAAACATTAACGGTTTGTAAACATTTGTCCCTGACTCTGCACTGTCTCCCTGTGGACAAGCAGCGGCCGGCGGCCAGCGCGCAGACAGGCACTGCTGTGGCCATGGAGGCTCTGCGCCCAGCAACCCTCCCAGCGCCAGTCCCCCCGCTGCCCAGTGGCCTCATATCAGGCGAAGCGCTGACAGCCAGCAGGTCTCCTGGTCCTTTATTTAAAACGCAACCTCCCTTCCCCACCGACAGCCATGGTCACTAAGCTACACAGCATCCCACTTCTCACCATCACCGAGACAACCTTCTCTCAGCATCGACTCCAGAGAGAATGAGTGTGGAGCCGGCGCTGTCACTGTATCCTATGAATGGAACAAGCGGACCCTGGGGCGGGAGGGAGGCCCTGAGGAACCTTACCCAGGCACGTGGCGGTGAGGAGCAGCAGCAGGGTGGGCAGCGTCTGCGTCCGCAGGGCCGACATCTTGCGGGGACAAGTCTGCAGGAGGCACAGGAACGTCGCGGCTCACACTTCCCTTCGTGGCATTTCCAGCGGCTCCGCTCCGGAGGCTGCTCTACAGAAAGGGGTGCGTTCTCAGGGGTGTAGAACGGAGCCAGTCTCCCGAGGGCTTCTGTGCATCCCACGCGGTTACGGCCACATCAATGCGGCGCCAGCCCGGCCAGTGTGGCTCAGAGGGTGAGCACTGACCCCGGCTCCCAGAGGTTACCTCTTCGCTTCCCGGTCAGGGCACAGGCCTGGGCTGCAGGCTCGATCCCCAGTGGGGGGCCTGCAGGGGCAGCCGATTAATTATGCTTCTCTCTCATCAATGTTTCTATCTCTCTCTCTCCCTTACTCTCCCCCTAAAAAATCAGTAAGAATATATTTAAAAATACAACTGGAAACAGTTTCACTTTAAGGGGAATGAGAAGGCGCTGTTTCTCCTTTAGTGAGTCCTGAGATGGAGCACTTAGACAGACAAGTGTCTGCAGGGCAAAACGCACCAAACCACCTCCAGTCACTGCACCATGGGGAAGAGTCTCGCTCACAGCATGACCACCAACACCCCTGACGCACGAACCACTGAAAATCCCCACACGCAGGGAAAAACCGGCTGGTGAGCTGAAGAGGCAACTCACAGAAAAGGACACACAAGTCACTCAAACAGGGGAGATGACACTTGACCCGTCACAGCGGGAGAGACCAGCGACCCCTCAGGACGCTCTGGAGAGCAGCTCGCAGCCCTGCACCAGCAGAGCTCAGCGCCAGACCCCGACTGCCAGGCCCAGCACCGCCCCCCCCCTCCCCCGCCAGGAGGGAGCGAGGGCCCCTCCCAGCCCATCCGAGGCTCTGTGCCCGGGCACTGAGTGGCTGCGATGAGATCAGCCGCAGGCCCTTCCACACCGGCCGGTCTTACGACACAGAAGGAGGCGGGAGCTAACCGGGCACCGCGCACCGAGGACACAGCCAGGCGCGCGCGGTCGGGTCAGAGGGCGTCTGGAGGGAGGACCGGGCGCGTCCTGGGCTGCGGGCATGTTCTCTGTCGCACTGATGGTGGTGAAAGTCACGAGCTGCACACTTGCGGCGTGTGGACGTGTAAGTGGCCCTCAGTGAAAGTGGTGAGCCAACGACGACGCAGGCCCGACACCACCCTCCCCTCGTGTGGGTGAGACGGACCTGAGTGACGCCGGGGCACGGGGACGGTGACTCAGCCTCGCAGGGCCACCGGGCCGCTGGCGCCGCCTTCCCACAGCCGGACGAACGTCACGGTTTGTTACTCAAAACAACACCTGCCCAACAAGGGGATGGGCAGCCGAGAGCAGTTCAGCGGCACCGACCAGGCTGGAGCACAGACGCCTGAGCCTGACGATTCGACTTCTCGAATTTCACCCGACAGATGTGAGCAAACAACACGCGGACCAGTTTCTCACGACAGCGCTGCTTTCACAGGGAGAGACTGGAGCGACCGGAAGTCCTGCAGGGGCCCCGTGAAGTCACGGCACACCCAGCCCAGGGCACACGCAGCCACAGGAAAGGGCCTTCACACGCAGGCGTGTCAGCGCTCACAACACATGAAGTCACGGCAGACCCGGCCCAGGGCAGACCCGGCCCAGGGCAGACCCGGCCCAGGGCATACCCGTCCCAGGGCAGACCCGGCCCAGGGCAGACCCGTCCCAGTGCAGGGCAGACCCGGCCCAGGGCAGACCCGGCCCAGGGCAGACCCGGCCCAGGGCAGACCCGGCACAGGGCAGACCCGGGCCAGGGCAGACCCGTCTCAGGGCAGACCCGGCCCAGGGCAGACCCGGCCCAGGGCAGACCCGGCCCAGGGCAGACCCGGCCCAGGGCAGACCCGGCCCAGGGCAGACCCGGCCCAGGGCAGACGTTCTCTCCCAATGAAACGATGCCTCTGGCCTCAGCTCCCCAGCGCTGCGTCCACAGGAGGGGCGCCCCGGCCATCGCACCCGCCACGCAACGGGCCTCCCTCGCACAAAACTACTGGACCACGAGCGGCTCTGACCGCCAGGTGAAGGCAGAGGCCATTTCCCTCCACCTGCTTCCCTCCTTCCTCCCATGGGAACCAGCCCCACATGAGAAACCCCACCTCACACGTGTTCCTGGAACCGCAGACATGTGAGCAGGTGGCCGGGAGTCCCGCCCCCGCCCCCCAGCGCTGTCCCCGCGACAGAGGGGCTCCCTGGGGCTGCGGGGACGGTGGCCTTCCTGTGGGCGGGCGCTCTTCCGAAAAGGACCGTGGGTGCTGCAGAGCCACCACGCTCCCCTGAGCAGCGACATGCTCTCCACTTCTGAACGGACGGCCATCGGGATGTGAGGGGACGAAGGGACAGCTCTCAGCAACGTGACGCCACCGTCCACCCCGACAGGGGGACATGCAGCACCCTAACACATCCCCGGGGGCAGTGCACCCACTGCGTGCGTTGGGACCTGCTGTACAGGGATGAGCCGCCAGGACTCTGCTCATTTCTCCTGCGTGCACCCTGGGATGGCGAATGTCCATCTGGAATGGGCCATGAAGCGCCCCTCTCCGCCTCCCCTGCAGGTCGTCTCTGTAATATAACCACGGCTGGGCGGCACACGCGGCTTCGAGACCCGCTCAGCTCCTCGGCAGCTGCTCTGAAGTTGAAGTGTCCTCCTGAAGCCCGGGCAGGTCTGGCCAGACTCGGGGTCCAGGCCTGGTGGGGGACTGGAGACACGGACCACGGACGGATAAGCCATCGAAAACTCTTTTAAAAGGGGGT